AAAAGAGAATCCACTCCATCCTGAAAACAGGAAGATAAACTGCAAATTTCCTGCTCAGCCAGCCTTATGGGCTCCTTGGAATAATGAGAAAAATATCAGGTACTTGCCTTAGAGGCAGTCTGTAATCCACTTAAGGACGGGAGTGAGGTGGACCACATCCTCGCATGGTGGACTGCCTAACGGCACAGGCAGGGACCCCATTTCCAAGACGCTTCACTGAAATATGATTGGGAGCTGATGGACCCATCCTCCCTCCTTTTTTAATTATGGCCAATGGATTGGCCTTTTCAGAGGGTGGTTTACTTCTGCAGCGTCCGTCCGTGTTATCCAGTTTGAATTGTTTTCACTTCTTCTCTTATTTGTAACTTTGGAGCATGTAAAACATCGCAGCAGGAGGACATTTTCCCACGAAATCATTATTAGTAGCAGTAATTATATACAGGCTCTTAATGTAATTCCATATGAAATGTGTTTTCATTTGAGTTACATTTTACTAAATAGCTGGATTGCCCTGAAAGTGGCTTGAGAACTCTGTAAAGGATATTTTCAATGCAAAGGAAATGCTTGGGACAAGAAGGTAGGTCAGAGTAGTTTTACCGATAAATAGAATTAAGCTTGAATTTAACCACTCAAATAGCATCTAACACAGGGGTATCAAGTTCATTTTCACTGGGGGCCACATCAGCCTCACAGTTGCCTTTAAAGGGCCAAATGTAATTTTAGGACTGTATTACATGTAACTACTCCTCAACTAGGGGCAAGGAGCTCGGGGCTGCCGCTGGGTAGAAACAAGGTGCTAGGCCAGATAAAACAAGGTGGGGAGCAGGGGGGCGGATTTGGCCCATGGGCCTTGTGTCTGCCACCTGTGACCTAACAATTTTGAAAGCAAAGCTTGAAAGGTCATGAATACGCTTGATGCTGGCTGGGGTAGAAAGCTGGGCTGTGGGTGGAGTAGGGGGACTTCGGGTTTGGAGGACAGACGGATGTGCCAGGAGCTGTGTTCCCTCCCCAGTGTGTGACTCTGGGCAAGTCTCTTCACCCTTGTGAGCCCCTCTTCCAGTGGCTCTTCTGCAAAATGGAGAAAACCGGGCTTTTGCATCCTCCTGAATAAGGACAGAGAGGGCCTTGCCCAGGACACTGCACAGGACAGAGACACAATAGAGGGTGGGGCAAGAGTAGGTTTACAGTTGTGCCTAAGGAAACTGAATAAACTCTGTGTTTGGCTTACTCACAACTGTAAACCTACTTTGCCCCACCCTGTAAATGATGGTTCCTGGGTTACCCAAGGAGGGCGTAAGAGTAACATTCCACTGCCTTGGAGGCAGACATGAGTATTCTGGAACAGAGAAATTCTGGGTCTGCAAAGTGAAGTCAGGAAGAGAGAGGCCAGGCAGAGAAGAAGAAGTTGGGGAAGGAAGCGTGAATGCTACCTCCCGAGCCGAGCTGAGATTGCCCACGGAGCCTCGGCACGTGCAAGCCAACACTGAGCCAAAGGCCTAAAGACTTCTGAACGAGCTTTTGCTGCAACAAAAAACTTTGGCTCATTTCGAGAATCTCCTGGGAGGTACCAATATGTTGCAGTACCTTCCCAGTTCTGATACTGCTATAGGACTCATCCCCGATACAGTGCGAACATGCTCGAGCTGGCTAGCAGCTGGGAAAACTGGAGTAGATCACACTGACCTTGAGAAACACAAGAAGGTGTTACTTAATGATGTAACAGATGAAATCCCTTCGCAGAAATGAGGTAAGGGAGGGCCTGAGGGAAACTGGACCAGCTCATATCGAGGGTGGGGAAGTGGGGGGAGGGCCTGAAACCCCAGCTCAACAGAGAGGTTGCCCAGGGAAGTTCTCCCACACTCAGCACTGTATTAATAGTGCAATGAATGATATGCAATGGCAATGACAACCTTTGGTGCTGACTTTGACCTTCCGTACCACAACCTAGGGGAATGGGGAACACGGTACAATGGGATTCACAGAGAACAAGCAACCCAATGAGAGAGATGGTAAAAGGGTTGAGTTTCTTCCATTTACAACCTATAAAATGTGCTATAATGTTTGAAACACATGTGAGTACTACTTTTGTTTTTGTTCCCATTTCCTTTGCTCACATGCCTGATAGTGAAATTTGGGGGCAATTTTTCTTCTGGGAGTGCCGTTTGCTGGTCAACCTCGAGTTACTATAGATAGTGAAACTATACAGTGATAAACCCTGTCATCTATTCCCAGGTACCCAGGTATGGCTTAAAATTCAAGAAGGAAAACTACATGGTGTGTCTTTGAGATCGTCCCATTCAACCTTCTTCATTAGAGACAAGAAAACTGAGGCACCAAATAGACTGAAAGATTTCCCAAAGTCCCACAGTTGGTTAGGGCAAAACCAGGAATTTCGGTCTCTAGGCATCAAACGATAGTTATAATGGGATAAATCCAAGATGACTCCATTCTCGTATGTAAGGAAAAAGGAAGACAATTTTTAGAATGCATAAATAATTGTGCTTTAGCATTATCTTCCAAGACTAGTTTAAACATGAATATTATTGGATAATATGGTTATTGCAGTATCACAAGGGCCACTGGAATTTGGTTTTTCTGCTTTAAACATAACATCGATGGGCAAAGTTTGACAAGTCTGACCCTGTCTGGTGCTGGGTGCTCCTCTGCACTGATGGCGTGGAGAGGCAGAGGCGAACGACACTGGGGTCACTGGGTGCGCAGCCGGGAAGCTGCTACCGAAACTGAAAACCGTCTGCCCGAAACTGAAAACCATCTGCCTCGGAGTCCATGGGCCCACTGCTCAGCTTCCGCCCTGTGGGTGTCCTCACAAAGGTGTGTATGGAGAACACTCCCTGCACCGCAGCCGAGACCAATTTTGAATGAAAGTGCGAGAGAGCCTGAACTTCCAGAGGGTATGTATCACTTGGAATCGCAAAACAATGAAAACAACTCAAATGCCCTCCAGAATGGGGGGGCTGGTTAAACAAATCGCAGCACAAGCACATGAGGGACTCTGGTACAGCAGTTAAGAACAATGGGGTAGATCTTGATGAGGAAGATAAGAGCTGGAGTACTAAGTTAAAAAAAAATCAAAGTATATTTTGTGTATATTTTTGCAAGTATACACAAACTGTTTCTGTAAGAATACACAAGAAAGGTTAATAATACTTACCTTCCAAGAGAAGGACTGAGACTCTCACTTTTTATTTAATATCTTCCCATTTGGTGTCAAGATACAAACCATAAGTGATGATATATTACCACTTTTTCTCTTTATACAATTCTAAAAATTACTACTATCCCACCTAGTAGAGGCTATTACTTTTTTAACTTGGGAGTTAGAAAGAACTAAGATAATCAGGAAAAAATGGACCCTGTTTTGTGTTCTTAATTTAACCCCAAATAATGAATCCAGCGAGATTAAGGCACAGGCTCATTTGAAACATAATGAATTTTAAATCCTGCTTGAAAACAAAGAAACAAATCTTCCTTTTCTTGACTTTCATAAAATTTCAGTTCAGCACCCCAGACATTCTCTTCCACAAACCATGGTCTATTTCCCCACACGGCGAGAAATCTCCCATGGTGCTCAGAAAATGAAGACAGTCTTGGCAAGGACACCCCAACCCCTTCCACGCTCTGCTCCCAGGCACATGGCCATCCTCTCCCCACCCCTGCCCCCTCTGCCTCCCATTCCTCTGCCTGGCATGACCGTCCCCTTCTCCCACCTGCTCCCTAGTCTTTCTTGAGATCTCAGCTCAATTACCTCTTTCCTGGGGACATGGACGCCCCCACCTCCCTGGCATTAGTCTCCCTTTCAGAGCACCACGTACTTCAGAGTACCAAGTACCGTTATGTCACGTTCCCACTGAAGTTTACATTTCTTTGATTAAATCTGTCTTCCACTGTAAGCTGCAAAGTTCTACAGCGACTGTGGGAACATGTGTTTTTCCTTAGCAGTGGGCCCCAATACCTGTGACGGTGGTGCACCTCATGAAAATGTAAATAAACGACAACTGAATAAATGGATGCGGTCTACACTTCACGCCAAAGCCTAGTGACCATGTAAAAAACAATGAATCAGACTGTGTCACACTTGGCTCAGACCCTCTAATGTCTTCTGCACCATGGTCTCTGAGGCCCCACGTGACCCCCCTAGCGCCTCTCTGCAACCTCCTCCCCTTCCATTTGGCTCCAGCCACACTGGCTCCCCTGCTGAGCCTTGAGTCCTCCAGGCATGTTGCTACCTCTGTGCCTGTGCACATGCTGCTCCCATTACTTAAAAACTATCTCCCCTGACACTGGCACAGCTTACTTCTTCACTTCATCCAGGTCTCCGATCCAATGTCACAGCTTTAGAGGGGTCTCTGCCGACTACCCAATCTAAAGGAGTCCGCACCATCCCTCCTTACCCCTCATTTTCCTTCACTGTCTTCACTGTACTTAGAACAACCTGACATTATGGAAAATATGAAAAGCAATTTCCCTTTATGGTCGAGAAGGTGTAGGGATTTTGTTTTGTTCAGTGCCCTGTCCTTAGCCCCGAGAGCACTGCAAGCCCTTGATGCACATTTGTGCACACACATATCAATACCAACGCCTGCGCAGAGAGAAAAAAGCAGAAAGGACAGACCAGAGGCAGGGTTAAAGTCTGCTCCTTTCTAAACCTAACACCATAAGTCTAACAACCTTAGCTGAGTTCAGGGGCGTTACCCACATTTCATTTTTCTTAATAAATGAGCTAGATGAGTGAACATTCTCAAACCTCTGACTAATAGAGCAGAGGACATAGACAGTGAACTTTAAACAAATGTGTGGATGATAACAGGCTTGCTTGTCCTTTTCATTCATTCAGTAAACAAAGTGAATATGGCTTTAAAAATAAAGAAAACATGATTCTAAGAGCAATAAACTTTATGCGCTCTACTAAAACTTCCATGTGTTCACCACAGTGTGTGTATGTGACAATTACAAAAAGAGTCAAGCGCTTGCTTGCTTACCCATTCTCCTAAAATGCGTGACACGGCTTCATTGGCTCTTGTCAAGTTCCTACAGGCCAGAATCACGTGAGCACCATGGAGGGCAAAAGACTTGGCAGTTTCAAAGCCTACGGTTTAAAGGAAAGTCACCATTAGAAGACACAAACACAAAACACTGAGTCGTGATGCATGGCCTGCAGTGACCACTGCACACTTTGCCCTGGGGGTCCCCAACCAGAGGCACGTTTCCCCTAGGAACAGTTGTTAATGTCTAGAGACATTTTCAGGGGCCACAGCTGGGGATGGCATGCTATAGGTATCTAGTGGATAAAGGCCAGGGATGCTACGAAACATCCCACAATGCACAGGACAGCCCCCACAACAAACAGTCATCCAGCCCAAAACGCCAACTGTGCCAAGGCTGAGAAAACCTACTGCAGAAACAGTGATTTCAGGGTGAAGGCCAAGCCATACTTTTATATTATCTGTGAAGTAGATAATAAGGTGCTGTGCTGAACCCCAAACCCAAATATACCTGGAATTACATTAAATATAAATGGACTAAAAACTGTAATCAAAACATATATAACATATATACACGCACATATATAACTAAGCAAAAGAGGTTGTGCTACGCCACTTAGCCAATAAGAGCCAGATTGGGAAGCCAGGTTGAGAGTCCAGGATGCAGCTAGTTGTGTTAAAAAAAAATACAATCAAAAGACAGATTATTAGACTAGATAAAACACACATACACTATGCTCCTTACAAAAGTGTATGTGTTATGTTTTGCATACTTAAACATAACAATAAGAAAGTTATAAGGAAAAGAATGAGAAAAGATGAACCATGTAAACACGAAAAGATGAACCATGTAAACACAAGTCATACGAGAGAAAAAGCTGAATATTTCATAATACTAAGTTCTAATCCACCAGGAATATGTGACAATTCTAAATTTGTATGCACCTAACTGTGTGTGTATGTCAAAAGTTGACAGAATTAAAAGGAGAAAATAGATAAGATTCATAATCAGAATGATGAATTTTTAACATCAATAGTATAAAATAAGCTAATAGGAAATATAAAGGAGATTTGAACCTACACAATTGATAAAATAGAAACAACTAAATATGCTAAACACTGAACACAAGAGCAAAATGTACATTCAAGTACTTAAGGAATATTCACCCAAATTGACCATATGCCGGGCCAAAAGCAAGTCTCAACAGACTTCAAAAGATTAACACTGGGAAGTATGCCTTTGGACCAGAATAGAATAAAATTAGAAATCAATAACAAGATCCTAGAAAATTCCCCTAACTGAAAACAAAATAATACATTAACTAAATAAGAAATTATGACTCAAGAAATGGCAATGAAAATTAGAAAATATTTTAAAATGAAAGATTACAAAACCTTTGCATATCAAAACTTACGGGACATAACTAAAGCCGTGAATAAAGGATAATCTATAGCCTTACCTACACATATTAAAACAGAAGATGAGCTAAGTATCTGGTAAGAAAATCTTTAAAGCAGATAATGGACCCTAAAGAAAGTAGAAGGAAGGTACTAAAAATAAAAGGAAACACTAATAAGGATAGAGCAATCATAAATACAGAGAAACCAAGAAGCCAAAGGCACTTCCTTGAAAAGAAATTGATAACGGGCTAGCAAGACTTACAGAGGGCGAGCATAGGGGTGCGCATGCCCGCTCATAGAAAGCACACAAGTGGCCAATATCCGGGGTGGATAAAGGGGCATCGCTACAGATCCTACAAACCTGGAAGAGACCTTAAGAAGATATGGTGATCGACTTTATGCCAATAAATTTAAGATACAGGTGAAAAATTGTCTCCCGTGAAACCAGTCCCTGGTGCCAAAAGGTTGGCAACTGCTGATACAATACACTGAGAACACAAAGAAATCAATTTTACCAGAGAAGGCAGCAATGTAACTCACCTGAAGTCATGTCAAATGACCATAAATTATTGTTTCCAAAATAATATTGATATGCATAAAAAATCAGAGTGGCATTAACTTGCTGAGATCGTCACATGAGTCTAGCACAGTTCATTCATTCCTATCCCTTCCATATAGCTAATCTCCACAGAGGCCAGTCTATTTATATAAACTCATTCTCAAGGGAGGCCAGCGCAGCATAGTAGAAGAGTTCAAACTCAAGAGTTTGACACACTTGGGCTGATCCTAGCTCTAGCTATTTATAAGTTATAGGACCTAAGGCTATGACTTTAACCCATTAGAAACTCGGTTTTCTTTTCTTAAAATGGAAGGATAAGTAATAAACAGGCACTAAGAGCCTAACATAGCCATAGTAGGTGGAAAACAAGTATTACTCCCCAGTTCTTTCCAAAATCCTTGCCGTAGAGTCTTTTACTGCCTCTCTGATTTGTATGACCTACAAAATACACTACAGTCTTTAGGACTAAAAATTAAAATTCTCTCCTAGGTCTGCTTCCAGGAGCTGACTGGCTTTAACATCAACCAGAATTTAAAGAAATTAGCTACATAATGCACCATTCCATTTGTCTAAATACTGGAACACACTCGAATTTCATTGTAGAGATAACCTAAGTCATTTGTCAGATCATGCCAAGTTCCATAGCCCAAGATATTCACTTTCCATTACCTAAAGATAACCTCCCGTGCTTGAATCTGATATTAAAATAACATGCAAGAGATTTCAGATCTGAATTACTCGACATCTAAGTCTGTTTGCCTCCTCTTTGGTACACGTAGTATGGGTGCTAAAAGCTGTATCTCCAAGCCAGGAGGCAAGAAGACAATAATTGAAATTTACTCACTTAGATCCCTGATGCCAATGTCACTCCTTATCACCAGTGAGCAGAAGGTGCGTCCCTACTTCATTTGAGGAAAGAGAGAGAAGGCAAACACCAGGTTTTGCCGCCCCACTGTTCCAAAACCAGATGGGGGTAGGCACGGGACGAAATCTGGCCGGCCAATGGGCTGCACCAATCAAGCTAATGAAACTAGGGCAGCCAAACGGAGGGGACACAACGTGGCCAAAAACGACTGCACTTGCAGTCCCGGGACTTTACATGATTTTACACACCCGGACCTTACTGGAAATGATGGGCTCTGTGTCCTTATGAAATGTCCAGGTCAGAGCAATCATAAGGAACATTTTTCATCATATTCCCATCAATGTATAAAAAGAAAAAAATGATGTAGTGGAACGGGGACACATGGTGAGCACAACACTTAGTCACTTGTTAGCGGCCACAGCTCTAACGGACGGAAAGAGAGCGACAGGGAGTGGGGCCAGGCAGGCCTTTGTTCATCTAGTTTACTGGGTTCACTGTGAACACCTCAGACCTGTGCCTTTCTCATCTCTCTGTCCCAAGGGACTCACGCTCAGTCGATTCATAAATATCTGACAAAGGAGTGAATGGTTCTTATAGATTGTTAATAAGCTATAATTCTGGGCTATATTAAAACAATCCAAATTGTTTCCAATAATTCTGATGGCCCTCTAACTTCCTTTCTGATGAATAAATATTAAAATCCTACAAAGGTACCTCACTGCCATTTTGAATGACACTACCTAGAAATCTGTGGGGACAGATCATGGCCTTTTTCTATCAAAATTCATTTTCCCGAACAAGCCTGTTAAGTCATGCTACCTCGCTTGACAAAATAACCTCTGGCAAAGGACTTTTTATTGCCAGAAAGAACACACCTGACGTGATGGTAACAGCGGGCTGTGGCCACAAGTTTGCACCCAGTCTGCTTTAGATAATTCCTGACAGTGGTTGTGGTTGAGCCACCTGTCCCTGGGTCCTGGGAAAATGCACTGTGCGTCTCCCATCTTCCTTTATCTAAGCAATGCTGTACATATTGCTCGCCTCCTCTTAAAAGCTGCTGCTATAGACACTCCATTTCCTTATGCTTTACAATTGTCTTTGGAGAAGAAACAAAGCATGGATATTTCAAAAGATGATGGCTTACCAGGAAGGACCATAACATTTTTATAGTAACCCATATTTCTCGAGTGTGGACTTTTTAAAAAGTTGAACAATGCTACCTACTGCACAAGTCCTAGACACGCCCAGAACAGCATCCCTCACTACTGTAATACCGCAGCTGTGACCGGTTTCATTAGCTAAATGCAGTAATGCTAAGCCAATTCTGCACAGTGCCAAAGTTTGTGCAAAGTAATGAAGGTAGCGGTTTACTAAATTTAATAACCTGATTCCTCTTATAAAAAATTAACTGTATGACAATGTTTAAGTTGAGCCAGCTTAACTGCACAGAGGTGGCAAGAGTGCATTCCAAAGAATATTTGAAGCTAATAATACAAAGAGAATAAAGAGACACATTTTAAAACAATGGGCAGCATCAGTTTTTCAACTCTTGTTAACATCTGATGCGATCAAGAAAATTAAGTGGCCATGGAGGTTTAGTATCTCCCTGTCTTGGGTTTTAGCCTTTGCATGCAGACATCAAGGTACCATATAAAGTAAAACATACCCCCCCAAATATTAAATACCTGCTTCTCTTACACTAGTTTTCATTCTCTAGAATGGTGATCACAGGATAAATCAAGCCCATGGACCTGTTTTGTTTGGTCCACCCATTGTTTCCCTCCCTGCCTTTTTCCCTTTTTCCCTTTTTCCTTTCTTCCTTCCTTCTTTCCTAATAGGAATTAGTTGCCGGCATTAAGAAAATCAGGAAGCTTACGTAGCCAAAAGTAGATGTCCAACTTCTCTGAAAAGGCTTACCACCGGGGCCCCCAACCCCCCTTGCTGCCACAGGCTAGAGATGGGGTCTGTGCTGCCCTGATGGCCACCGTCACCACTCACGCTGCTGGCACACCTGCCAGGCCACTGTGGGCCTTTGATGCTCGGATGCACACTCTCTGGAAGACTTCTGCCAGAGACAATGGCTCGGGCCTTGCCACAGAACAGCCTCAATCAAAATGCTCACATCCGAACTGCCAGATCTCAAAAAATGTCTCACATTGACCTGCTTGAGATTCTATTTAAGCTGTGTCGCACCCCACACTGTAAAGCATGAGAAGATCAGGGCGTTGGCTAGGACTTGGAAGGCCTGGCAGCAGCACTGGGCTTTGTGAACAGAAACA